CAACATCAATACATATGACATCAATACGTCCCATCTGCTTTTCTATTGCTACACCCATTCCACTGGCACAGGACTGTTCTTTCCAGGCTTATCTGTGTCAAGAAGACCTTGAATAATCGCTAGCATGAGGTACTACTTGGTTGTTTCCCATCACTTGGTTGTTTCCCATCACGTTATATTTGCATATTGGTCTACAGATATGAGGGAAAAATGCCCCTAATTGGAGTATTCCTGGCTACAACCCACGTTGTTTTAACTAGCCGTGTATTTTTATTTTCCAGAAAGACCAGTGTAACAAGTAACCTTAAAAGTAAATAAATAAATGATGATTATGGTCACCAGTGTGTATTGTAAACTCTACAAAGACTCCCAGGTCCTTTTTGTCCCCCCACTGGCTGTGAGGCAGGTGAGAAGCACTAACTGCTATTCCCAGACTCTGCTGACATCAATTCTTGGGGCTGGCAGGACACAAACGCGGTTCCGGCTCGACACAAAAGAACCTGCGAAACCAAAAGGGCAAAAATCAATGTTCAAGGAATCAATTTAGTATGACAAAATATTTGAAAAGAGGGGCAGGAAATCTAAGGCTTTTACAGGGGCCAGTGCTAGAACCTGGCATTATGCAGGAGCAGACGGCAGGCACTAAGACCCTGCAAGATCTGCCCTCATTTCCTATGCAGCTTTTGGCCTGCATGTAAGAGACTGAACTAAATAGGGCTGAGCTAAACCAAGCTAAATTTGAACCTGGCTCGCTGAGAGTTAAAAGACACGGCCACGTGTTCCTACAAAGGTATTAAAGGTATCCTGTCGCCTAGCCCAGAGTGTTCCTTGCTGCCCTGGATATCTCGCACTGCTGCCTTTGTGGCTGCCAGGGAGGAAGGAATCCCGATCTGTCCCGCAGCCAAACCACGGAGAATTAAAGCCTTTGTCTCTGAGGCCTTTCACCTGCCCAGGCTGCCACTGCAGCTCCAGAAAGCCTCTTGAGAAATCAGCAGCTACGAGTACTYCTGCCTTGAAAGAAACATCCCTTTCCATCCTTACGGCACATTMCTCCTCCTGAAGACACTCCTGCCTCAAATGAAAAACACAGGAAACATTAGGGGCCTGAAAGCTTTTAACATCAGTCTTGGAGCTTCGGGTTGATGCATCCTCCAACCCCGGCGGTAACAGCTGACGGGAGATAGCACCGCTCTGTTGGAAAATGGCAATCATTCCTACATGCTGCTGATGGGTTACACTGCCATTAAGGACATGCAGGACATGAAGTTTTGTGCTCCAGGGCACAAACCAGCCTCTCCTGCACCCTTGTCAGTCGGTGGAAAGTTACCAAATGAAAGGCTTGTAATATGATTGTCCATYGTGGGGTTTTCGGTGTCTTTCTCTGAAGCATTTGATGCTGGCCACTGCTGGAGACGGGATATCATATTGGCTAGATTACTAATCTGATTTAGAAGAACAGACCTTTTATTCCTATTAAGCACGTCTTGGTACAGAGTCAGGTTTCAACTAGTACTCATGGCCAGGAAACACTAGAATTTAGGCCCAACCTGCCCTTAGACACCTGGCACAACTGTTATCAAAGTAAAAATAAAAATAAAAATAAAAATAAAAATAAAAATAAAAATAAAAATAAAAATAAAAATATGCAAAATTCTACTTACCTACATTATATTTTTCATAGGAGGAGCAAAGTATCGGTTGTGTACTCCATTATTCTACTCTATACACACCCTAAGTGACATTGATAAATGATTTTGTACCTGGACAGCTAAATTCTCCTGACAGTTTTGCAAGGGCGAGTTAGTGGGAATGAAATTTGTGGATATGAAAGCGGGACGAGGTCCCAAAAGCAAAATAGCCTTGTTAGCTCTCCACGTTGCTAGGACCTGTCTGGAACAGCCCTTCCCATTTTGCTGCGTGGAGGTGGGAAGGGTTTGCCCATGGATCTGCGTGCCTGCAGCACCGCTTGCAAGCTGATCCCCTGCACTGCTCCCCGGCGCTTGCAGGGTCCCTCCTTCCAGCTGGCTGCTGCTGACCACAACTCTCATTTCCTCCCCGTGCAACCATGAAATGAAGACTATCATAACAGCCKTTCTTAATATATACCCAAAAGGTATTTTTCTGTTCTATATGTGGCCACGCTGTATTTCAAATACATTACCTCACCTCCACAAGGCCAGTGGCAATGTCCCCCSCTTTTGTCACATGTGCTAAACAGACCTGGGCTGCTTCTCTAAGGCTCATTGTGCAGCACCTCTTTTTATTCATTTGCCCAGCACACAATCATCCTTAAGCGATCTCCAGCGTGTAGCAGCTGTGCTGAATCCCCCATTCAGCTGTGTTGTGTCATCATATCTGAGAGGTGGAAAAAAAAAATCACGCAAATGTGATATAAATTTCAGCTTTGGAGTAAATACAACACTATGACATTTTCAGGGCAGAAATTCCATCTTTGTTATGTCTTTGTACTGTGCCCTGCCTCGTACTCTTGTAATTGTAGATCTGAATTCTGTAATAAAAATAATAACAAGATAATTCTTCATGCCACCTCTTGGAAAGCACAGCTGCGTGTCAGGGAGATAAACTGCTCCTCATTTGTACAACACGAGACAGCAAAGCTGATGGACCCTAGTGCATGCACAAAATAGCAATGTCCCCCGCCTCCTTAGGAACAACATCCCTCCATCAACACTAAATGCAGGAACCTTCCTTCTAGTGGAYGGTTGAAGTAGAGCTAAGAGAACAGGAGGTGGAGAACCTCACTGATTAAAGCTCTACGGTCAACRGGGTGTCCCGTGTGCTGTGGATGAACCCGTCCATGATCGTTATTCAGAAGGTGATCCCCAAAGCAATGACGAGCTCTGCAGGGCCCCCTTGTCCTGCTGACCCCTCGTGCAGTTGGCCTGGGCAGGCTGGGATCCCAGCATGTCCCACACGTCTGGGTACGTGGAGCTCTCCATGCTCCGGGTGTTACCATGCGGCCTTTGGGAATTCACGTGGGAGCTGTACAGAGCCATCAGCCCCTGCTGCCCGCCCTGTCCACCCAGCCAGGGAGGCAGGAAGGGGCCTCGCATCTTCTCCTCAGCTGCCACAGCACAGACAAGGACATCGTTTTAAGCCGCCACTAATGTCAATTTACACACATTTACATGYAGCTGTGAGCTGCACTGCCTCAAAAGCAGACACGGTGCCTGGTCTCTCTTCTGTACGGCAGAGCACTAGCTTCTCAGAGGACATGGGGTGGCCATGAGCAGGGCGCCTCTAAATTGTCCCCTCAGGAACCACCAAAAATTGTCCACAGGTGCCCGTGCAAATATTTTCCCTGCGTGGCTGGCCTTGAGGCTGGCTTTGGAGCAGCTCCCGAGAGTCTGCTCAAACTTGTGCAGGGGCACATACAATTAAAAAAACACTTTTTGCCTTTCTTACATACGAACTCCATTCAGCAAGACGTAGCGATAATTCTGAATTCTGCCACTGACTTCATCAGGAAATCCTGCGTGCTCAGGAATGCATGATATTTGGGATGGAGAGACATCCTTCAGAGCTCATCCCTTAGACGTCACCTGCTAGTATTGTTATTTAAATACTTTAAAAAAGGGGATGAAAGGATGAAGAATCCCATCGGTTTCTCCATCCCTCAAGGATACCCATTTGGAGATAAAGCAGTTGGAGTTTCAGCAGTATGCTATTATTCCCACAACTTGAGCTTTTCATCATGATGGTGCTTTGAAGACCCCTTCATTGGGTTGACCTCAAGGCTCTTCTCCTGGGCATTTGGGTGGGCTGCTTGGTGTCAGATCCATCCCTGAAAGCTGATAGCTTCCCAGCATTCCAGAGGGGGGAAAAAGCTCTGGATCCAAGGATGGGTGAGGGGAGAGTGTCTTGCCAGGACTTGCCCTCACCAAGCACAGTGGGAAGCCACAGAGGGGAAAGAGCTGCTAAGTTCTCATGTTAAAGGGAACAAATCTGTTTTAAATTCTTCTGGTTTTGCGTGAGAAACRTTGCTGAAGGAACCAGGTTACAACAGGTCACAAGCTCCATGGACCTGATTTTCTTGCATTATCTTTTTTTTTTTTTTTCATTTTCTTGGACAGTTTTTACAGGGTGCTGTGATAGGAATGTCTCACTTTGCACCCCTCTAAAAGGCGTTTTAACTCATTCAGTAGATATGCACCTCGTATAGGCCTTCTCTCTTTATCTTAGAGCGAGTTTAGTATTTTTCCTGAGATATGTTTATTGAACGGTGGCATTCCGAAAAAAAAAACAGACGGGAACATGGAACAAAACACCCAGTACAGGCCCCACTTGGGGTATTTCAGTTCCATAACAAAACACAGGGCCTCTTGGGGAGCAGGCGAGCTCCTGGGGGCTCCRTGCCCTTTCACCAGATGTTCCCGGCTGCAATAATTTCCACAGTGAATCCTATAGGAGCTCCCTATAGGGGAGAGGGGAGGGGAGGCGCTTCCCGCCCTTAGCAACGGTCGCTGCGGCGCGCGGGGCGGGGCCGCGCTGGGCGCGCGCTGCCTACAAGCCCCATGATGCCCCGCGGCGCCGCGTACGTGACGCGGCGGGGCGGGGGGAGCGGGGGGAGGGGGTCGGTCTCTCCCCCGCCGTGTCCCCTTCCCTCGGCTCGGCGGGCGCCATGTTGGCTTGAGCCGAAGATGCCGGGGGGCGGCTGCGGGCGAGGCTCGCGCTGAGGCCCGGCCCGCGGCGGCGCGAGCGAGCGCGGCGGCTGCCGGCCGCCAGGCGCGGAGGGAGGGGGGCGCCGCGGGGGCAGCGCCCGAGCCGCCGCAGCAGGGGAAGGAGGAGGAGGAGGCGCGCGAGGGAGGCAGGGCTGAGGCGGCGGCGATGCGAGCAGCGAGCTGAGGGTGCCCGAGGCGGCCGCCCTTGGAAGCCCCCGGAGCGCCGCGGGAGGGGAGGGGAGGGCGCCCCGCTGCCCTCCCGCAGCCGCCGCGCCGAGCGCCGCTCGAGGGGGCTCCGCGAAGCGCCGCCGCCGCGGGCAGCAGCAGCCCGCCCGGGTCGCCCCTTGTTAACGAGGAGGCGGCTCGGGCGCTCCATTATCCCGTGAATCATCCCGAGGCTGGGAAGGAAGGAAGGAAGAGCGGGGGGGAGACGCCGCGCACGGTCCATGTCACTCCGCAGTCTCGCCCGCTCCACCTGGCGCCGCTGGTGACGAGGATCTGGTGCCATCGCCGCCCTCCCGGGGCTCCCCTGGAGCAGCCCGCGCTCCACAGGATATTCCCCGCTTCCCTCGGGAAGCGGCTGCCCTCCCGCCGGGCGCTCGGCTCGCCGCGACGTGGAGCTCGCTGCCCCCGAACGGTGTTCGCCTCCAGGAGCTGCCTTCTATTTTCCCTTTTTTATTATTATTTTTTTTAAGTTGTCCTGAGCCATCAGAGTAACGTCAAGATGTCCAGCAGCGTCCCAGCTGATATGGTAAGTCTGGTGCTTCTCGTTTCACACTGCTGTTATGTAATAACGTTTATTTAGCCTTGCTCTGGCAGGGGGGATAGAAAGAAGAGGGACAAAAAAAAAAAAATCTCGGTTATGCATTTAAGGAAGAGAAAGTTCCCAGCTGGTGCCCCCACCCGCTGCTGGGTGCCGGTTCTGCTTTGGGTTTTGGTATCGCCGTGCAAAGCTGCAGGGTCGTCTTCCGAGGGGCAAATTCTGTGAATGTCGCCTCCTTCCTTTACCTTTGGCAGCTCCTGTCTGACTGCTCCTGCTTATAGGGGGTAACTGTGTTTTACAGCCCCCCCTGCCAAAGCCTTTCTGACGGGAAGGAGACTTAGAATTACTTATTCAGGCTTTTCTTTCCAACCAGCCGAAATTCGGTCCCAGGCTTCTCCCTTCTCTGCTCCTCCGCTTCCCTTGTTTCTTAGCAGCCCTTGGTCCTCTGATGCTGCTGGGAAGTTAATCCCTTCGCTTGATGCCGGCTCAAGAGCCAGCAAGAAATTCTCCCGCACTTATTTACACAGTGAGGTCCTTTGTGCACTCGCTGCAATCTGGACGGTTTTCAAGGGCACTCCTTGTACTTCTTATGGCCGACTGTACTTCAGCCCGCGTTGGACACCCGGCTCCGAACACTTCAGCTGGAAAGGTGGAGCTGGGCATGGGGAGAGGACCCAGGAAGAAGTGGGTCTGCTGGCTAATCTTTCTGTTCATCAGGTCCTTCTTGACTTGTATACATTTCCATAAATCACTTAATAAAAAAGAGTAGTGGCTGTGCTGTTTTGTTAGGTTACCCCTCCATTATTTTTCTCTTGTAACAAAAGATTTATGTCCACATTTAGAATATTTTAGCGAGCTGCCGGCTTGTCCTTGGCTTCCCCCCACCTCCTTGGGTTGCAATTACATCTTCTGATTATAACCTGCTGCAGAAGCAATAATGTAAAAACTGAATAGCCCTTGTTTCAGCCCTCCATATACAAGTAAATGGTGCATATGTATGACAAATAGGCTATTGAAATAATGGTATCATTTAGATGCCTGCCTTCATTGTTCCCTTTGCAGCTTTTCTACTGCAGGCAAAATGACAAAATTCTGCCCCCAAAAGCAGAAACATAAGATATAGATGATAACCAAACAGTTTTAAGCTTACAGGTTTTTATCTTTCTTAGAAACTATAAATATATTTTGCCCCCTGGAAGGAAAGAACAACGAGGAAACTGTTGCCTCTACACTTGATTCCTTTAAATCGTAATTTTCAAATACTATTCTATGTAAAATTTATGTTTCTCTTCAGAGTTCCTGTGATCGTAAGAATACTGTGAACCCCTTTCTCTCCTGCCCATGCTGCTCTTTGATTATATCAGAGAAAATCTTTGCTTATCTGTGGAGGGCTAGATGCAGATTTCTGTAGTGCTTCTCAAAGGGCCTGGAGGAGTCCCTTGCCTGTGACACCAGCGCTCGCTCCCTGCCCTCCTCTCCTCTCCTCTCCTCTCCTAGCCCGCACTGAGGGCTGCCGCCTCCGGGTGCTCCCACATTCTGCTGCCCAGGAGCCCTGCGGCTGCCTCTGGGCTCACGCTGTTCGAAGACTCCATTTTATAACTGCATACGAGTATAAATATAGTAATAAAATACATTTTTTTATTGAAACCCATTTGTTTCAGTTATGATGTAATCAGAATGCTGCTCTCGGGGATACCTAGGCCGAGAGAGATGCTCTATTCCTTCAGATCGGGAAGCAGCATGTTCTACAGTGATCTTTTAAATATTGAGTCATCACAAAGACATCTGAATGAAGATGTTATAGATCTCAGTCTAATTTATCATCATGGATAGGCTTATTTTTGTGTGTCCTAGGATTGTTTTGATTTGTTTCAGGGTTATTTATACAGTGTATATATGTGTGTGTGTTTGCGCGTGTGTATAGACACTATATATATTTTAGGTCTAGTTTCTCTCTGAAAGTTTGAAGTGTGTTTAGAAGCTTAAGTTATTAAATACCGGTTAATTTCTAGAACACTTAAAATAATTTTGGTTCTCCTTTTATCACCAGTCTCTCTATTTCAAAGGAGTTGGAGGAAAGACAATGGAATTGTTATTTGATTGCTTTTTAAAGAGAACCACTTACCAGACTGCCACTTTTTTATGTATGTTTTTATTTACCATAGGATTTTGGAGTTTGCATTTCTCTTATCCACCTACTCTATCATTTGCATTTACCAAAAAAAAAAAAAAAATTCATTTCCCATTTCTGTAGGAGTTGGTGTAGTTGTGATTGGGTGGAATATTACAAAGGCCTCATTCCATTTATTAACTCTGCTATAAATTGCTGAAGTTCTACAATAATTAGGTTTCAAGCTGTTTTGTTAGATTCATTAAATAAACTCACGATAATAATAARAATATTGTAGCTGGCACTTTTTCAAATGTGCTAACCTGCAGTGGGTCTCCCTGTCCTTCCTTTGAATTAACAAGGACCTGCTTTACATGGATTGCCATAGTTATCAAATCTTCAGTTAGCTTTTTACTTGCTTTACGGGCAAAATTTGAACAGGCATATTTAGTTACTCCTCTCCGTCAAAATACAGCAGATGTGACGTTGAAATGGTTAGCTGGTTACTTTTAAAATAATTAACATAACACTTCATCATTTGCATTCCACTAGCAAACTGCATGGTGACACACCACATTCCGAGCACTTACATGTTTGTGGTGAGTTACTGCTTAGCAGTACCAGCAGCACATGCTACTTAAATGTTAAAACTCCACTTTTGGAATGAAACTTGCTRATATTGACTTCTGTACTTGTGTAGTTTCATTAACTTAGTTGTGACTAGACATGTGTGGAACAGTTTTTAGAAGTTACTACCTAATTTTATTTGCTCTGTCATATAAATACTGGTGTTTGTGGTGGCAGCAGGGAGCATCTCTAAATACTTTGTGTAATTTCATCAAATAATTCATCAGTTTTGCCACTCACTAAGAGCTAGAATTTGGCTGTGAATAACAGTGGGCCTCTTTGCAAGTCATTTTATTTAGTAATAATAAAAAGGATGCTAGGTGGTTTATGGACTTGTGATGTTACTCATACTTTAAGTTGATCCRATGAAAAATGTCTTGCTCTTCACTTAAAACCTGATAATTTCATTACAAGCTATCTATATATTTATATATATATTTTTCAGTGGAGTTACCGCAAGAGTCTAGGAGGTTGAGTCTCTGTTATGATGCTTCTCCTTACAAATATAACTCTTCAGGCACCTGAAGTGGCAAGTAAGGTGCCTATATGACTGAAATGTAATTATTATGTTTTCTGCAATCTAGATCTTTCTTGTGTCAGTGAATTTTATTTAGGTCCCAAAAGGCTTTGCGAGGCCTTTCTTCCTTTGGGGAGTTCTTCGCATTTCCTCTAGGATACAAAATCTCGGTTTCTTTTAGTGTCACTGTTCCAGAGTGATGCTTTTTTTTTTTTTTTCCTCTCTCTCTGGTGGCATTAGATAAACAATGGTCAAAGCTAGTAATTAATTGGAGGTTTCAACATTATGTCCACCTATTGAATACCTGTGCTGAATTTGAAGAAGATATGTAGTTTGCAAGAGATTATTTTAAGTAAAACTTAAATGGCAAGTTTTCTGCTAAGCAGATATGAGAGGTAGAAGTTCATGACCTAAAACGCTTGCATATAAGACGAATGTTAAGAGGGAAATAAAAGGACTAACAGAGGAATAAAAATAATAAAATAGGAATAACAAACTAAATCCACACCTCAATAAATATCTCATTAGTGTCATTGCTTAGTGAAATTGTGTATATTCATGCCCTTTTTCAGGGGATTTAATGTGGGATAATGATCAATAGTCTAACGTGTATAGGAACTTTAGCACCCAAGAATAAGGTTCAGGCAAGAGGGAATCAAGGAGCAGTTAGCTTTATGGCAGCTGAGTGTTTTTTGTTTGCTTGTTTGTTTTATCCGATCTCAGTCTAAACAATTTTCATTTAAGAATAATAAACATAATATAAAGGCATAATATAATGCCCTAGGATTACAGAAGCAAAGTACTTTAGCTCATAGTAGTTTAACTTATAGAGAGAAAATGTAAGAAATCATTCGTCTCTTCTTTTACAGCTGCTTTTCGTTTTGGTGGGTATTTTTGTATGTTTTGAAGATTATTATATTCCAAGTTTTTTTTTTACATAAAGAACATAAAGGACTGAATGTCTAATTACTTTTGCCTCAAAACTCTCCCAATGGAAGTTTTAATTTGTTATGTTGTAAGATAGAAAAACCCAATAAGAAACATTTTTATCTTGACTTTTTTTTTTAACTGTTGTTTTCTGATTGTAAGAGATAGTATTATACTTGGCCTTCTAGGCCTCTTCTCCCCTTCCTGGAGAAGGAGTTGTTGGGATCTCTGTTGAAAAGAAGAGCTTGAAGGTGATCGTTCCTGACTCCCTATATAGCAAACCACTTTTGTAGCATATTGCAACTTTATGTGCAATGAGCTGAAGAACCTTCTTATCTGTTGTCTGCAGCAGTGGCCAGAGACATGCTTGTCAAAGCTGATGTCGTATATGCATATTTTGGGTATCATTCAGTATGATTTATACTTGCCGTCCTAGCTTTTTCTCCCTCAGATTAAAAGAAAAAAAATCTTAGCTGTGTGTCTAACAAAAAAAAAAAAATCACTGTAGTAATGACTGGCATCTCTATGTAGGATGATGTAATGTAATAAGGTGAAATTCCAGAGCATCCTAACATATTGAACATATTCTGAAACAGTGTTTATATGTCCTCCCTTTCATTTGCTTAAAGGATGAGCAACTGTAACTTGTGCATGAGATAATGATTGATATTTATGCTGGATATTGGTTCTCTGTGCTTCAGAAAACTTACATTGCCACAATTGCCAACTTCCACTTCTGTTTCTGGATTTTTTTTTTTAATCTCAACTTTTTTCTGTCTACTTCTGTTGTCTAATTTCATGAAATAC